CAGGCTGCCCAGGGAAGTGGTTGAGTCTCCATCCCTGGAGGTATTTAAAGAATGGATAGATACGGTGCTTGAAGACATGGTATAGATGGACTTGGCAGTGATAGGTTGACGGTTAGACTCGATGATCTTAAGGGTCTTTTCCAACCTTGACGATTCTATGATCCTATGTGGGGTGATGAGCTTCCTTAAAGTCTTGGTTGAGAGAATACATGTTTTGGAGACAAACTGTATAACATATAGCACCCAGAATGTGGAGCCTACAAAGGAGTTTTTCCTCATTTCACTCCTCTGACTTTCCTGTCTTAGAAAAGTTGCATTAACACAGATCTGCCCCATGGCTGAACGAGGGCAGGTCAGAACTGCTGTTTCTTTTGCTTCAGCTCTTCAGCAGAAATAAAAAAGGAGGAAGTTGCTGAGCTATTTTTGATTTGGAAATGCTGCTGCTCTATTTGGTGACAGAGAAAGTCCAACCAGGGAACTTAGCCTGTAGAAAATGAGAATTTGGAGGATTTGAGCTACTGTTCCTTTGGTGAACTGCAGGGTCCTGTATGGGATACACACTGGGGATACCAAGCAACACAGAAGACATGATCCATTCAGGTTGTCTGAGTTCACAGAGAAGCATAAGGATAAGTAAACTTCAGACGCTGTGAGGCATTTGGGCACCATTTCCAAATCAAAATATTTCTGGGTTTACACAGTTAATTGTGACAAAAAAATGATTGCAGTAAATGTTGGGGGGAGGGAAGAATAAATTAAACTTTCAAGGCATAAAATTGTTATTTGTAAATAATTCTCTACTAATCTTCTCAATGGGCCACAAAAAGTCCGAAACGGTGAGATTTAATCCTGCAGGTTTTTTGACATTCTCAGCTTTTGGAGTGAAAGTTTCTACCTACACTTTTCTGCTCTTCTTGTTTTATTTTTCCACTTTCTTTCTCACAGGTCAAGTACCGGATTCTACAAAAACATCGTCAAAGTTCAGAAGCATGTTACATTTAACCAAGTGAAAGGAATCTTTGGCTTTACAGACAGTGATTGCATTGGTAGGAAATAACATGAGTTACTAGAAGTGATACTTGCTTTCACTTTCTATGGCACTATTTAATCTGAGATGCTTCACGAGTACAGCATGCATATAGCAATGATTGTAAGATCTTAGAGGGGAACTTGCCTGATGGGTAGCTCTATAGTCATTCTCTCACAAAGAGAAAAAAAATGAGCAGCTCAGAGTGATGATATAGTCAATTGTATTTCTGGGAAAGGTAGATAGTTCAATGATGAAGAGAGTATGCGCTGATGAACCTTTTCTGAAACCTTTGTGATCACAGCCTGCCTTTTTTCATTAGTTTCTATGTTTGTTGTTGACATCATAGAAGGCAAAGATTAAACAGTTTCCTCAGATAAGGCAACGCTGCTTGATAAAGGTAGATGTTGGTCTTCAACTGAGTATTTGAATGATTCACTTGTGCATTTCAAAAAGTTCTCTCTAGTTATCATTGCTTATATTGGCTTCTCAGCTTTTCCAAACATGTTGTTTTCTAGGAAAGATCAGCTTTCCTGCTATTCAAGCTGCTCCGTCCTTCAGTTCATCATTTCCACAGATCTTCAATGGCAAGGAGAACATTCAGTGTCTTATCCCATGTGCTATCGATCAGGTAAGATAATCATAGTACTTAATTTGGTTTTCATGCATTTGTTTTTGTCATGTACCATTCAAGCTTCATGGTGGTATATCAAAACATCTGTAAAACATTCCTGCAAGCACCTTTCTGGGGCAGAAGCTGGAAGAGATAAAAGGATGATGTGCTGTGTCCTGACAAAGATGAAGGCTTAACCCAACAGTCATGTATTCATGCGTTACTTATTCTTGACAGTCTTGGATCTGTCTTGATCTCAACCCACTTTACAGTGAGCTGACATCTATGAAAGCAAAGGCAGTAAAATCTATGCAAAAATGTACTGACATGGGGGTAGGAAGAAACTTTTGGCCATCTCCGTGGTAACTAGGACAAGACATAATGAGCTTAACTTGCAGCACAAGAGATTTACATTGAACCATAGGGAAAAACCTTCTAGCGTAAGAATAAAGAAGCATTGAAATAGTTTGCCCGAAAGGCTGCAGAACCTTAATTCATATCTATGTAGAGAGGTTGGAAGAACATCAGCTCCAAATGACAGTGGTAGCATCATTACTTTAAATAAGTATTGTTTCTAGGAATCAAATTCTCCACTGTCTGAATCTTTAACTATTTTAGTCACAGGCACAGTCTCTGGAAGATGATGTAATTACATTCATCAGCCACAATATTATGTAGTAGTATTATTGCAGTTGGTTTAAGTCAGATCATCAGCACAGCACTGCCAGCTTGATCACTGATTTAGTTCAGATTCTGTGCTGATTGTTAAGCACTTTGGGAGGAAGCTTGCATCTTAGTCTGCATCCATCTCCAGGTGTACTAAGCATAGTTTTCACAACTGTTTGAATTCATGTAAATCTTTGTACATATGCCTGTTTAATTGAGGGAATCAGAGTATACAGTGAAACTATGGAAATGAAAAAAAGGGATTTTATGTGTTTGTTCCTCTGGATGAACTGGATTGGAAGTAGGTTCTGGAACGTTTTGTGGTTGGTTGGTTGGTTTTTTGAGACCATCCGTTAAGGCATGAACGAGTCAGCACTGATCAGCTTTTAAATCACATTTTTCAGCTTTATTCTGTGCTTTTGTTGATGGTTGTTCTAGGATCCTTATTTTAGAATGACCCGGGATGTAGCACCTAGAATTGGGCATCCTAAACCAGCCTTACTGCACTCAGTCTTCTTCCCAGCCCTGCAAGGAGCACAGACAAAAATGAGTGCTAGTGATCCAAACTCCTCCATCTTCCTCACTGATACACCCAAACAAATCAAGACAAAGGTAAGGATCTGCAAAACCTGAGAGCGCAAAGCTTTATAACAAAGAGGAGTGGTGGTCCTCACGGTTACAATGGCAATTTTTTAACGTTTTCTTTGAACATATCTGAATCCTTTTTCCCATACATTTCATGGCACAGCATCTTCAGGAATTGACTGAGTTATGCAAATTTAGCTAGACTATCAGGTATAATCTTTTGCCTTGCCAACTAACAAGTCAACAACTTGTTGTCTAACAGTTCAAATATTAGCTAGAATAATGTACAAAACATCATGTTTGTTTATCTGATATCTGCAGAGCAGTGGTGTAAGAATAAGAGCTGTGGAGGCTCATGCTCTAAAAATAAATATTATGGTGCCATAGTTTTGAAATCTGACAGTCCATGGTGTAAATCAAATAAACAGCTCTTTCTCTTGACTGCCTCTCCATGCTGGAAGCACCAAGCGTTGCACAGTATCTGTTACAACCAGGTCAGACTTTTCCTGCTGCTTGGGGATCTGCTGCTGCCATGCACTCCTCCCCCCAGTTCACAAATAAATATTATGTTGAATTTCAGCTAAGTTTTAGAAGGTACTTTCTCCTATCTGAGTTTATTTCTAGTGCTCCTTCTAGCTCAAAGGAAAATCCCTCTTATCCAGTGTCAGATTATATAGTTTGGCAAAAGTTCACCTATGTTTTGGTATTTAAAAAAATAAATAAAAATCAGTCTTTGGAAAAGGATTTATAGGCATGATAACCAGACATGAAATAACTATCTGTCAAAACAAGAAAAAAGATGTATATGTTGTTTCTGCTGGGTGGGCTTGGATTAATTCTCTTACGGTTGACAAGACCAAATATAGGTCAGATTCTTCTGTAGCAATCTCATAACTATTCATTAGCTTATGTAGAAACTGTAATTAAACAGTACTGTTTTGAAGAACTGGAATTCTTCATGTGTTGGTTTATAATAATTCCAGTTTATTTGCACAGTTACACTGTTGCTTTTTAAAAAAGCCTATAATTTCAGAGTAGAGGTTACATGGTTAGGGACAATGTTGGTAACATTCCTCCATTTTTTTCCTGGCAAGTAGCTAGTGATCTGCGAAGAGATCTAAGAGGCCTTATGTCCAGTTAATAAGTCCTATTTCTGCTGTCTTTAAACTAGTTGGAAAAATAACAAAATAATTCTAGCTACTTGGAATATAAAGGCTATAAAGAGAGAATTGTGAACATAATGTGAAGTATTGAGTAACGGAGGGCAAACTGAGATTTTTTTCAGCTTCTGAAGCCCATCAGAAACAAGTCTTTATGGAAATAGAGCTTGAGTGAATGACAAAATATTGTTATGGCCAATAAATAAAAAAATAGAGTAGGAAAGGTGACTTCTGGTGATGGATGAAGTTTAAAAAGAGAGTGCCACTGCTGCAGAAAAAAAATTACTGCTGACAGCATTTTTCAGGTCACTAGTACATTGCTAAGTAATGAGGTTCAAAACTTACAGGTAATAGAAGATGAAAACTTACTAGATATTGGGAAAGGCTGAGAAGCTTCTGGGAAATCCAAGGAGATTAATGGCAACATTATAATAAACTATTCTTATTTCACCTATCAGCACCAAATTACAGCTCAATTATTTGTTTGTTTTTCTAGAAACTGTTATTTAAATTCTAAGTCTGTACTGAGTCAGGGAAATCAGTGCATCACTGAAACCCTCAGTCAACAAGTAGCTGACAGAATATATAAAAAATGAACTTGAGATTAATATAGGAAACATTTTGTGTAAAACAATAATGTGACTTCACCTGGCATATTGTATTTAATCCCCCTCACCTTAGCAAGAAGACAAACTGTAGAGATGAGGGACATAGAAAAAATCTCATACAAAGACTTTCAAAATCCACTAAGGAGAGAGGTGAGGGGAAGTGCAAAACAATATGTAAAAACTTAGTTTTACAGATACTAAGACAGCTATTCAGGCTGTCCTACAATATAAGAATAGATGTAATGTGAGAGATGGCAGTTTATTTTCTTAAGATATTCATCAGTGCATCATTTTTGTATGTAATTTGTTGCCACAAGACATCATCTGTAACATGGTGGTTAGAAAGATTCAAAAAAGCACTAGACAGTCATACAGATAGTAAGAATGTTCAGAAATTGTAAATATATAACAGTTCCTGGGTACCAGAACTAAAAAAAAATCTACTTCATATGCATGTGTGTCTCTTGGCTGGTTGATGATGATATCTGAAAAGATACAAGAGCCAAATGAAAGCTCAGCTTATGTTTTCCCTCTTCCTGGCAATTTATTTTCTTTAAATTTGTAGGAAGATTAGCATCCTCTGAGAATTCTACACATGTATAAATTTTCAAAATAGGCCAGTGGCTTCTGAATTTACTGGGAATAGGATTAGCAGGTAGATCTGTTCACCAGTGCAGTTCATCTGCCCATAGGAAGCTATGCTTAAAAAGAGTGGGGGGCAGTCAGCAAGTATTCCGTTTTTAGATTGAACAATTAGGCACTTGTCTAATTTTAGCCATTCTAGCCAGAGTTTTGTAATCTTTAACTTTGCTTTCTCTTGTTTTCCTTTTCCCTGAAAAGAGGAAGAGACTAGGTTCTCTCTAGGATTTCTTCAAAATTCTCCATGCCTTCTTCATCTCCTTCAAAATTAATTTCTTGATGAAGTGAATATCTTATTTTTTCTTACATGAAGTACATTTCCTGTAAGCACAAATTCTATCCAACAGACAACAGCTTCAGCAAAAGGGACTTAAAACTTGGGTGATTAAAAAAACTTGGGACTTAAAATCTTGGGTGATTATATTTAATTTTTTCTTCATTTTTGTTCTGGTTATGCAGTCTGAGGAGGATGTGTATAGCCATTTTTCCCTGCTGGATTCCAAGAACCTCCTTTTGCCTCCCTGCTTCAGTCCTGAGGCTCTGTGTTAACTTGCCCCACTCACCCTTCAGCTAGTCCTTAATATAGAATTTGGAGGATCGTGACAGACCTCTGTTTACAATATAGTAATCCAGAATTTAGTAGAAATTATACCATAACACCATTATGTTGTTTTAGATTAACAAGCATGCCTTCTCGGGAGGCAGAGATACCATTGAAGAGCACAGGAAGTATGGAGGTAACTGTGATGTTGACGTGTCTTTTATGTACCTGACTTTCTTCCTAGAAGATGATGACAGGCTTGAACAACTGAAGCAGGTAAGTAGCCAAGTTGAAGATAATATTATCCATTCCTTATTGTGAGGACAAAGCTGTAACTAAGTCTTCCTATGAACCTTCTCCAGGAAGGTAGTTGTGTTGTTATTCCTGCGCTCTCCATCCCTTGCAATTTTCAATATTAAGACCTCTGTATTTGTTTGTTTGCAATGCTCTTCTTTCTCACAAGCCAATCTAGCTCTTCTTTTAAAAAAAAAAAAAATCCCTAGTGTTTTCGTAAGGATCTCCAACACTGTGTAGGACAATATGTCCCCCACCTTTCAGATGAGGCCACCTTAGAATTAGAGTTGTTTTAATTGTATAATACACTGTGCCTGTTCCTTATGTGCAAGGTACCTAAATACTCTGCAAAACTACAAAAGCTCATGTCTAAATCTTGCTGGTTTTTTTTGTTTTTCCTTATCACAAGAAATATAACAGGAATTGAAATATAATGAGGAATTGATTCACTGATCCCAAGCAAAAACTCCTTCATTTAAGTTGCGTTTTCCTTAAACCTGTCTGGCAGACTTCTGTCCCCAGAGGTGGTAGCAAGACATTTCACTTCCTTCAGCTATATGATCATCATCAATACTAGGCAGTATGCATTCTCTGGAAGGCAGTCTCCACAGTTGATAGTACCCATGTCACATTGGTTTATCAGCTTTCTCCTGCTGGGAACAGCTGCAAGAAAGTAAAGAGCTGCAGATTCTTCTCCAACCCTCTACTCTCATCTAGTTCCACTCCCCTTGCCATGGGCAGGGACACCTTCCAGTAGACCATGTTGCTCAAAGCCCCATCCAACCTGGCCTTGAACACTTCCAGGGATGGGGCATCCACAGCTTCTCTTGGCAACCTGTTCCAGTGCCTCACCACCCTCATAGTGAAGAATTTCTTCCTTATATCTAATCTACATCTACCCTCTTTCAGTTTAAAGCCATTACCCCTTGTCCTATCACTACATGTCCTCGTCAAAAGTCCCTCTCCAGCTTTCTTTTAGGCCTCCTTCAGGTACTGGGCTATAAGGTCTCCCCAGAGCCTTCTTTTCTCCAGGCTGAACAACCCCAGCTCTCTCAGCCTGTCTTCATAGGAGAGGTGCTCCATCCCTCTGATCATCTTTGTGGCCCTCCTCTGGACTCCCTGCAACAGGTCCATGTCCTTCTTATGTTGGGGGCCCCAGACCTGAACACAGTACTCCAGGTGGGGGTCTCATGAGAGCAGAGTAGAAGGGGAGAATCACCTCCCTCAACCTGCTGGTCACACTTCTTTTGATGCAGCCCAGGATATGGTTGGCTTTCTGGGCTGTAAGCACACGTTGACAGGTCATGTTGAGCTTCTCGTCAGCCAACACCCCCAAGTCCTCCTCAGGGCTGCTCAATCCGTTCTCTGCCTAGCCTGTATTTGTGCTTGGGATTGCCCCAAGCCATGTGCAGGACCTTGCACTTGATTCACACGGGCCCAGCTCTCAAGCCTGTCAAGGTCGCCCTGGATGGCATCTGTTCCCTCCAGCATGTTGACCGCACCACACAGCTTGGTGTCGCTGGCAAACTTGCTGAGGGTGCACTCAATCCTGCTGTCCATATTGTCAACGAAGATGTTAAACACCGCCAGTCCCAGTACCAACCCTTGAGGAATGCCACTCATCACTGGTCTCTGCTTGGACATCAAGCCATTGATCACAACTCTTTGAGTGCAACCGTACAGCCAATTTCTTATCCAATGGGTGGTCCATCTGTCAAATCCATGTCTCTCCAATTCAGAGACAAGGATGTCGTGCGGGACAGTGTCAAATGCTTTGTGCAAGTCCAGGTAGATGACGTCAGTTACTCTTCCCTTATCCACCAACGCTGTAACCCCGTAGTAGCAGGCCACCAAATTTGTCAGGCACAGTTTTCCCTTAGCGAAGCCATGTTGGCTGTCACCAGTCATCCCCAAATCTGGAGCTTGTTTGACTTACTGAGCTGTTTTCCGTCAGTCTCCAACCACTGCAACAGTATCGGCCTAACTCTGCTACGGAGCACAAAGCCTAGGCCACAGCTAGCAGCTTGCTGCAGTGCTGCCTCAGAACCAGATTAGAAAACATGAAGTCACTGCTTATAGTGCTCCACAGCATTAGTGGAGCTGTTTCAGTTATGGTACCAGAGGAGGAAGCTTTCAGAAGTGGCTACTCGGAGAAAGCAATGTTGGTGTTTTTGTAGCAAACTAACAAACAAAAAACCTCCACCCCCCAAAAACCACCACTGAAATTACAATTCAGTTCACTCTTGTTAACATATTTTACTGTTGCTGAGTGAGCATCAGCAACAGTTACACCTTGAATTGGTATTACAAATGGCTTGATGACAAGGGGAGGTAAGAGTATGATGTTTATTACCATTTCAAATCATAGTTGAACTGCCTCAGCCACGGTTTCTAATCAGGGCTGAACCACTCATCCTGTGCTTCTAGCTAAAGCATTTTCAGTATTAGAGCAGCTGAATGAAGTACCAACTGTGAATATGACTAGTAGTGTGAACATAGATTCTGAGTGTCTTTGCTATAAAAAAGATACTTTAATCACATATAATCACTTACCCAAATGCAATGAGGGAAAAAGACAAGAATTTGTACCTCTTACTGCAAAAAACAGCTTAGGGTGACTGTTTATTTGAACTGAGATTCTGGGGAGAAAAATATGCAGTTTCCTGAAATAATTACAGGATTTCCCAGTTAAATTCTTGTGAATGTAGCTTATTCAGTCCATATAAATTGTCACATATGAAATTGCCCGGCTGTCTTAATATTTTAAAAGGCAACAAGCAGTTTTGCAAGTTACACTTTTAGAGTGATACCACATGATCTTCTAAGGCGTGTGCTTATTTTTAAGACATGCAAATCTATATTTGCTAGGGCCAGGCTTTTAAAGAAATACTTGTCACTGAGACTTTTTTCCATATAGCACCATATTTAGCAATCAACACTTTCTTGACAGGCATACACAAGTGGGGAATTGCTCACGGGGGAGCTGAAGAAGGTTCTTATTGAAACATTGCAGCCCTTGATAGCAGCTCATCAAGAGAGACGGAAGCAGGTCACAGACGAAATGGTGAAGCAATTCATGACTCCACGGAAGCTAGCTTTTGAATTTTGAAGAAATGCGTATGTAACTTACCACTTGATAAACCAAAACTGAGTAATTGTTGTCTTCTGTTGTATGTCATCACTCCCTAGTTATGTACAGCCTGCAATCAGTGCTTTATAAATACTGCTTTTAATGAGTTAATTACAAGGAACATTGGGTACAGGAAAAGTTTAAAATAGGACTCGTATCTATTTAAAATCAGAATATACAAGACAGAATTGCCCAGTCTTGCAGAAAAGCATGTCTGTCAGCACAACACTGTATTTTATTGTATTTCATGTTGAAAATATAAATAAAACTTCCATTTTGATGATAAAGCCTAACTTGTAAATTGTTTTAGATATGTTGGTAAGGGGTCATATCTCAAACTAATAATTAATAGCTCCATTTTCTTTTGTCCTGTGTACCTTGGTTTACTAAACTGCATGTCCTTTTGGGCTTCTGGGAACATGCTGCACACAAAAAGATAGTGAATGTTACAAAGTGGATTGCACAGTGACTTAGGCCTGGCATCAATACAGAAAGAATGGAGATCTGTGAGCTGAACACAGGAGAAAGAATATCAGGCTGGTTTTGCTGTCGTCTTCCTCTTTGACCTGGGGCAAGTCGCAGAAATCTCACTGTACTTTTGTTTCTGCAGCTATTTAACTGGTCTGACTGCCTCTGGAGAAAGGAGGTTATCACAAGGTTATACAGTTCCTTCATATTCTCAGGTAGAAGATAGTATAGACATGCAAATTTTAGTTTCTAGTTATAAAAAGATACCAAGTATTAAATCATGCTGTGAAAATAAAGTCGCTGCTGGACACAGGGATACTTCTAGTACTGTCTGTTCTGTTTTACTGCACCAAGTCATTTAAACTAGAGGTACTTATTTTAAGATGTATTCCAGTGAGAAAATATACTTTGTTAAAATACCTCATGTAATATTTAATTATCTCCTTTCTTAAAAAGAACCTCTATGTCTTTGCTATGATTTATGGAAGAAAAATTCAAATTATTAGCTGATTTGTTTTAATATGTACAGTGCTGAACACAAAGTGTTAGTTCTGTCTTGTATTTATATAGAATAGAAAGTTTCTAGCCCAGACGTAGTCTTATCTACATCAAATAAAAATACCTTTGATAACACAGGTGGTATTGATGTGTGGTATAAGGAAGGCACTTGAACGAGGTGTGAAAGATTTAAACTTTAATAGGTTCTGTACTGTGGGGCCTAGTGGACATATATCGACTGCAGCATTCTTTAAAAAAAAAAGAAAAAAAAAAAAAGGAAAATTAAAAACCCAAACAGCACACCTTTAATTTGACTGTAAACCTTTGAAGCCAGTTGATTACATTTGGGTTGAGGGAGAATTTTCAAGAGTGAGACTTCTCACTGACTTCAGTAGGCCTTGGATCAGCCCGTTAGTACATGAGAACGTGCTGGGCTATTTGTGCTGCCGGGAGCTGGTGCCGCTGCCTTCCCACCAGCAGCGGTTCTGTAACACAGCGGGCACGTCCTCCCCAGCAATGACCTTGCGTTTCTGGGGTGGAAATGCCTGTGTGCCAAGTTGTGTATGAAGTGCCCCTATTAGTTTATGTTTGTGCAAGGAAAGGAATCAAGGAAAGACTGAAATGCAAGGCAAGTTTAGTCCTATTGAATGTGTTTCAAACTTGTGCTGAAACCAGCAATGCTTAGCTTTTGTCTTTTTCTTTATGGTTTACATGAGCTGGCATTGCTAATCTAATGTCATTGACTTTAATGTATTAAACTAAACGTTTACCAGCTACTGTCTCTCCATAACGCACAGACGTAGTATCTCAGCGCTAACAAGTGTTTAACAATCAGTAGAAAAGCTTTTTTTTTTTTTTTTTTTTTAAAGTGGTGGAGCAATTCCTAGAAAAGAAAAATAGCTTTTTAGATCCAGTAGTAAATAAACTGATTCTTGGTTACTGTAGACTTTAATGATGATCTTCCTGTTCTTGCAGTCCACTCTTTGTCATCTTTAAGCTATACATAAAATATAAGACTTAAATGGACTTTTAAAGGGCTTTTACGAACTCATAATGCAAATTTCTTCTTTAAAATATTATATGCAGATCTGTCCTCCAAAATTTATTTCATTTATTCAGGAAAGGGAAATATGCTGTAGGAGAAACAGTAGTGTGTTCTATTCTAACTAAGCATATGGATTAATTTTATAACACAGCAATTAAAATCTGTTTTGAAAGTTCTAGAAAAGAAAGCGATAGCAAAATTATTTACTATTTGTTTACTGAGCAAGCACCTTACTCAAGTACTCTGTTGGATTCTTACAAACATGCTTCTGAAATGATACAGTTTCTCAGAGGAGTCTTGGAAAATTCCTAAGTCTGTTGTAATTACAACTGATGTCCCAGAGATATTTAGAAGTCAAGACAAGGCAATCTTCAAAAGCATGTGTGAAATGTGTAAGAATGTTATCAGGCAATGTTCATTACATTTTCCTCATTTGTTCATATTTTGTTCATCTCACTGTAATAAAAATGTAGATAAAAGTCTGTATCAAACTTCTTTGATTTTACTCTTTTTTTTTTTATTATTTTTAAAAGTCTTAATTTACACTTACTCTATTTTTGACCTCTCTTCCTACCCTTTTAGGTGTTGATTTAGTCATCTGATGGAGCTGGTCCTTGTTTTGATGTCCAGTGCCTTTCAAGTAGTGACCTAGGGTGCCTTATAACCTGCTCTGTCCAGTCCTCCCAGGTAGACATCAGATTGCTCCCAGAGCAAGCTAATAAGGGTCAGTTTTCCAAAGATTAGTCCATCCCAAGCAAGATGGGATGTTGCATTTCCCTGTGTACAGCAGCCAGCTCAGGAATAGGGGAAGGTCGGTGTCACCCGTTTGCAATGACCCTTCAGTAGGTTTGACGTAAAGACTGGTACTTAAGCGGAAACATGATACGCCACAATTGCTGTTGTCTGAAGAGCACAGATCCTGAATAGCTTCACGTGGCTCTTCCACGGTCACCAAGAGGCATGCTGAAACAGCGTGCCGAAACCTACTTGGGTAGTCATAGACACTGTCAGGGAAAACAGGAATTATCAGCAACATGAAATCATGAAGCAGAATGTGCCTTCTAAAGAAAATTTTCTTTTTTTTCAAGGCCACCAACTTTGTTACCGAGAGGAATCATCTATACAACAAGCTGCAGTCCCTATAGCAACGTAAACCCAATATCAGCACAGCAAATGTGGTGTCTTCATTCCGCTAGCTGGCCTTCAGCTAGCTAGGTTATCAGAATAAATAGTTCTGTGATTATTAGAGTAGCTGAAGGTTAAGATAAAAAGAAATCAGAAAATAAAGCAGTCAAGTTCTGAAATCCAGAAGCCAAACAGCCAGCTTGGTGTGTATGCAGGGAAGTACATAATATGTACAATGTGTCATGTCATTAAACAAAAATTGGTTCATATTTATGTGCCTGTGTTTACAGTACTTATACAGTCAAGTCCTGTACCTGTTGGTACTATGTATCAGTGTGAGTTAGCTCTGAGTTCTTGCTTTAAGGCAGGTTGTCACCCATATGCTGTGTATGTATTTTTTTCCAGTAAAGGCTCGTTGTGAACAGGATGGATTGCAAAGAAGTTACCTTCCTGAAATAAGCTGCCTGAAGATACAGCTTACCTCTCGTGTAGCATTTGTTCAGGCCACTTGAGAACCTGCTTTTAGATGGTGCTGAGTAGCCTGAGGCTTGCAGTTCTCAGCCCCTCGCACTGACTTCCACAGTTGTTCCCACTCATTTTTACAGTTCATCTGTAATTCCTGTTTCTTGAAACCAGCTGTATTTCAGTTACACCCACAGGAGGAGACATTTTTAGTCATCTGAATGCATGAGCCTATTAGGAAAGCTGAGCTATTTTATTTTCAAACCTTGAGCTGACCATGGATGGTATCAACACTGCCTAACAATAAATGGTTGTTTAGTCTGATTTGCAGGCATTTTTTTACTGTCTCTCTTCAGAGGATGTAATGCCCGAGAACAAAGTCAGCTGAGAATAATACAGCATAAAGGAGTTTGATGCTAGAAAACATCCAGGCAGAGCTGGGATAAATCATCACCCAGTTGGGACAGCACTAAGTCAAATGCGTCCCTTGTAGAAAGAGGTGAGGGTGGTGGCCTCTTAAGAGGAATTCCAAATCTTGAGGACTTAATTAAATCTTCTGTTGTAAGGACTTTCTGACTAAAGGAAGTTTGGTGCTGGTGCCCCAAGCTGTAACTGGGGGTGATAAGTTGCTGAGCCCATAAGCACTTTGGGAAGGAATCCGGTTCAG